TATATATATACATATATATATATATATATATATATATATACGTTTCTCTGATACCCTTTTACCTCCGGTTATTTACGTCTCCGCAATTTTCCACGCCGCGCGCTGACGCGTGCACAAACCGCGCTCTGCTGTTGCGTACAGCGCGTAAAAGCTCGCGACTGACGTAACACGAACTTTTGCAAATGTCAGGTTTTACACGATGGTCCTCTCCAACGTTTGAGAAACTAAGTTTAGCCAGTTTATTAATATATAAAAAAAAAACACCATATGTTTTCCACCCATGAAAACGTTCAAGTAAAACTGATTTAATATAAAATGAAGCGACATTTATACGCGGGGTTATTATTATAAATTTCTCAGATTATGATACGGTTTAGCGAAATGGCACGAAATTATAGACCGAAAACTATCATCATTTAAATAATTTTCTTTTTCGGTCACCGTTTGATCACCCGAGGTGATGCGTGCACGCGGCATCGCGTCGTCGTCTCCATGTTTCTTGAGATAATACGGCACGCGGCAATGTGCACGATACTTATTTGACGAGGCTGACGTACTTTTATCGCCCTTCGTCCATCGCAAGAGGAAGCACCTCTCGCGGGACTCTTTATCGATCGATAATTATCGAAGGCACTTGGTCAGCCTCGCGCATCTAATTTCTTCGTGCAAGGGTGAGAGTTGCACTGCACACACATCGAAGCCGTTCGCAATTTTTTTCCGGCTCATACGAGGATATTCTTCGCGACCTCTGCACTTAATGACCTGGTGAAAGTAGAATAGACGCTCGCGAACGATCGTTATTAGACAAACGTGCACATTGACGCTTCGTACCGCTCACATGTACAAAGAATCTTCGTCGTATCGTTTGTATCCCTCCTGCCTTTATTTGCCATTCAACGGAGTTGATTGGTTTTTGCAGAATGCCCCGACGGTCAACTACCCTGCGACAATGGCGTCTGTATCAATAAGAACTTCTTCTGCGACCACAATATCGACTGCCATGACGCTAGTGACGAACGAAATTGCCGTAAGGATATCTTTGGATATATTTTCTGCTGTTTCACCGAAAGTTCTATTCGATATTCAAAGATTACAAAACATTCTATGCCCTGTTATGAGGATATTTTGAAGTAAAATATATGTGTATTTTATAACTTGGAGTGTAACACTTAGTACATACAATTAGATCATCTGTGTCCTGCACATTTCTTTTCTTTAAAATATTAGGTGCACCAAATAATTAGTTATTAGTTAACATTTATATACAATTTTTTTAAATATGCTTATAAATATTCTCTGAAGATATTAAAGTATATTTAAGAATTACTTGATAATATATAATTTAATATACTTGAACGACCTATTGTAATAAAAAGCCGGAAAATCGTGTACTAAGAGTTAATTAAGATTTTTCATTAAAAAGATATTTAACCTCTGGAATTAACGGTAGGCCTATTGAACATACACTCAATTATAAATCTTTTTGTGAAAAATGTTAAACAATTTAATTGTTTTATCTGCAAATTTGAATTATATTTTATTAAAATATACTTTCTTATCAAAATAGTATTCATTTTTTTTAATATAAAAATTATATATTTTATGTAATTTATGTTCTTTGATTTCTAGATTAGGATCTTTTAATTAACATAAATTAAATGGGTCTTACAGACCTGCTTCATTAACTGTATTACAGATTTTGACGTCAAGTTAAAGTATCTCCAGAAAGTTAAAGAAATTTTTTTTCGTTTATTTAACGAATTTTGTATTCAATAAGTGCAACTTTGATAAACGCGTGTCGCTTCATTTTGCAGCGGAGAGCGGAGAAACTGGCAGTTCAGGTCACGAATGCCACGAGGGTAGCTTCATCTGCAGCGATGGCAGCTGCATACCTTCAACTGCAGTATGCGATGGACGTGCGGATTGTCCGCACGACGAAGACGAGATAAACTGCCGTCGAGGTAAGTTAAATTTGTGGAATCGTCACTCGCGATATTCCTGCGTTGTCTTCTTTCGTAAAGAGCTGCGTTAATTTAGGTTCGAGGAAATGATCCTTATTGATAAAATATTCAGAAGATGGATACAGAATTCTCCCTCGTTGGTTAATTCATCATCGTATCATATCGATACGATGTAGCCTTCGGAACGTATTCATAGCCAGGACTTAAAAGACATTGGGAGCACGATTCGAGGACGCAAACTTAATTTAACTTATAATCTTACGTCATCATTATGAATTGAATGAATAAAGACTTTTGTAGACGAGATATAAAATTTAATCCCACCTCTACTGTATTTTGCGCAATGAGCAAATGATTATTATTACTAAGTGATTATTATACTAAAGCTCCTTAAGCCGTCAATAATCTTGCCGTCTCTCAAAATCGTTAGTCTAAATAAATCTTACTTCTAAGATTGAGTTCCGACGGAAGATGATACTTGGAATATGAATGAAGGCACAAACGCCTATTTGTGTCTCAGGTTTACTTTATTACATCCGGACTCGCTTTAAGTCCTGATTATGCGTACGGTCATCGGACAAGAAGAAGGCTTTTCCTCGAGATTTTCGAGGCGTATATCTGTTGCGGCCGCGTCGCCAATACATCTTCCGACACATCTACGAGAAACACCGCAGCTCAGATTGAGTTACTTCTAGGTGTAGACGCCTCGGATAGTGTCTCCTCGAAGGGGCGTCCAGAGACGCCGGAGGTGATAGCCGGTGTGAATCCGGATAACAAGGCTTACAGCCCAGACACAGATGCAAATATTGATGTGCCGCCGACAAATCTGAGCACGCCGAGGAGTTGTGCTCCGGATGATTTTGTTTGCGCCGACGGCACTTGCATCCCCGAAACCCACCACTGCGACCATTTCTACGATTGCCGCGACTTTACCGACGAACAGTACTGCTTCGGTTAGATTATTTGTAGATCTCGAAAATCTGGTGACACGCACGCACCCCGCATCGAAGTCTCGCGCGCTTTCATTCTCACCCCGATGATTCATTGAGTAATTTCGTAACTATCGAGAAGTTGTTCGTACGTCAATGTCTCAACATACGAATAATTCTTCGTGTATTTACGAATTCACATTAATATTACTACCGTGTAAATAACGTTAAAAATTTTACGTGAAAAGAAAATTAATTTTTTATATTCTTTTTAATAATTATTTACAGTATTCTTCAGTATTATTGTCCTACTATTCTCTCCCTTGTTTTCCCTCTTTATTAAAATTGATTTTAATTAATTTTTAGTCTTTAATAAATATTTTTTTCAATATTGTTTATTTTTTGAATAAATTACTATAATATTTCTTTACGAATTGTTTAGGTGGAAAGTTATATTATTTTAAATTTTTATTCTGCTCTTTTGAATAACATCAAAGTTTTTATCCGCGATAAAATAATATTCTGTAATATCATTGAAAACACCAGATTCTCTTAGATCTGTTCTTTTCTGCCAATCTGTGTTAGCAGCTGAATAGAAGATGTGTAGGTTGTTCCAGTAGAGACTTGATTATATTTCTAAAATTTATAATCGCAGTCTTATATATATTACCCGGCGCATTTTTATAAATAATAGTGCATCTCTGCCTGACGTAAAATTTAGATCGTTTATTTTTCTCGTAGGTAGAACGTTTGGCATACATCCTATTTGGCATGCATAGCACGAGGAAAGTACAATTTTACCTATACATTTTTGTGCATTACATTTCGGAAGGAAAAATACTTTAAAAAGTCGATATACGATCTATTTATTAACAGCATCAGTATATCGCTGATCGAAATTGACAAAATCATGCATAAAAATTAAGGTATTATAAATGTCTTTCCTCCTGAATCTATAAAAGTTATATTGAATGATGAATTATATTTAAGTGTTCGTAGATGACAATCAATGCATATAGCATAAATAATTGAAAAATTATTTATATCATTTATGATACTTTTTATTATTGTCACGTTATTCTCTCTCGTGAAAATACGTTAAATTAGTTCACTGATTTTGTGCTATATGAACTGATTTCCGATATATTTGATCTAGATTCTAGACCAAAGCTGTCTAAATTGGTGACATGCCGGTGAAAAGAGGCGAGACAAACGAGAAAAGGAACGCATAATCAGTCAGACAGCTCTGTTCTAGATTATATTTAACAGTCTTTTCTAGGTAATAAAATCTTTACCTTCATCGTATTTATATTTCGGCGTTAGATCATTGTTTAGATTGTAACGGACATATGATGGCTCCATGGCTGACATTTTACATGTATCTGTGTCTCATCTATATCGTTTCTTTAACGGATCAATGACTCACGGTTGTCTCGTTAACGTACAATGCAAGCTCTTATTTTAGGATGCACTCGGGACCAGTTCCAGTGCGCCAATGGAGATTGCATCCGCGCCGATCAGAGATGCAACGGGTTCATCGAGTGCTCCGATGGTTCCGACGAGCCGGAGGAATGCGGTGAGTATAAAGGAGTAATCACTTAATCAGCAACATAACGCACTAATTAAAAAATAACTAACAAGTAATAAAAAAAAAAAATTGTATAGCCGACATAGATTAATACAATACGTAACTTCGGAGTAATTTATAAATGCAAAGTTGCAGTCTGTGAAACGACACAATTCCTTAATTTCTTAAATCCTATTTATTTTTAATCTAATTAAATTCTCTCTTATATTTACTTTTGCTTTATTAGAACCGCCAAAGCCAACACCAGGTCAATGTGCCGCGGATCAATATATGTGCATTTAGATGGGTCCGATGAACAAAATTGCGGTGAGTCAATAATACATATATATTTAATTCTGCAGCAATTCTCATATAAATCACGCATTAAATTGGTAGTAAAATGAACTAGACGAGATCGATAGAGTCGCGAGTCTACTTCGAATCTTTATATTAGTAGCTAAAACTATAATTGATAACGCGACTTCCTGACTTTCTCGCCTAATCAATTTAAGCGATTCTGCGAAAACGCAGCATAATGATACATATTTAACGACGAAACTAAAGATCGCGAAGCGGTATGCTCGCACGAGGAATGGAGGTGCAAGAGCGGCGATTGTATACCTCAACATCAACGTTGTGATCGCCGAATTGATTGCCCGTACGATGATAGTGACGAGTTGGATTGTCACTATAGAGCTATGCAAAGAAATCACAGTAGGTGCAGCGCGCATGAATGGACGTGCAATGACGGTCATTGCATTCCGCTGCATCGGCGGTGCGACAAAAGGCTCGACTGTCCTAGAGATATGTCCGATGAGATGGATTGCAGTTATGATAATTGTGAGTCTCTCCTGTAGTTAGTCATCCGGAGCCGCCTTCGGGAAAGGGGACCGCACGACTGGCCGATAACACGCCATGCGCTAATCAATAATACCTTGTAAATATCCATGACACCGTAACATAATATCTGCTGTAACATAATACTGTAATGTTTTATGTAACACTAAAAGGTATTTATTATTCCCGTTTTTCAGCGAATGGGATACAAGCAAATGAGTCTGTATTGTATTTCCATCATTTAAATTGCAATTCCGCCTTTACCCGATAATGTACACACTTTTAATCTGAGAATAACAAATATCTATTTTATGATAAATCATACGAGGAGTACTGTGAGCTCTCTCGATTTTTTGTAATGATACATCGTAGAAATAGACATCACACTTTATATCATATTTCCTAAAAAAAAAAAAAAATTAATAACTGAACTAAAATATAAGATTGCATTTCCTCGTAAATAAAAAATGCAGAAAGGTGCCGGGTAAAAATCTCGAATTAACAAAATTGATAATTTAACGTTTATTCTGTACATACATTTATTAATCATTAATAATGATTGTTAATGCTTTTATTATTATTTATTGTTAACTTATTATTTTTATTCGTGCGCAGATACCCATGAAACATCTGACCTTAGACTGAAGACGTATCCCAGTGAACAAGTGATTAAAGAAAGTAAGTATTCTATTCTTATTACCGTGTACGGATTTGATGAAATGTTGTATATGCATTTGTTGCATTTCAATTTTTGCGTAGTTATATCATCTAACTAAAGTAGTCAATTGAACATCTTAATTATTTAAATTAGAAAAAATTAACATACAAGATAAGACATTAATAATAAGCAACAAGTGCTGCGTTACCAACGAATTAGGGTATTCCAAAAGAAAATTAATTAATGAATATGTTTGTTATTTTTTTCTTGCCTTGGCCAGATCCGGCGAGAATAGGTAAGACTTTTCAAAAAATATAAGCTATAAATCACGCTGTGAGCTAAAATAATTTTCATGAATTATTAGATGTGCAAGATTTGAAATACGTATTTCAGTTATGAGTTACAAGTGTCTGTACATTATGTTTATGTATCTCGCTTTTTATGATTTTCTGTTGCAAACTTTTCTTGGGGCAAAATAAGCAATAGAATCGATCTTTAAAACTTCCAATAAATTTTCTAATTATAACATTAAATATATTTTAAAATTTGACGTTTTCTTTCCCTGATGTACACATATTGTAATCATATTAATTTGTAAAAATCATATTTATTTGTAAAAAATTTTTATATTTAAATCAATAACCGAAAATTTCATTAGTAATATCGTTTGAAACCATGCTTGCAAATTTTAATCATGCATGATAGTTAATGTCGTTCAAAATTTGAACTAGAATGCAAATTTTGGCTAAAATTATAATGTATAAAATCTTCCACTACCAGTGTCTAATCCTGATTCTCATATACCTATATATTTTATTTATAATAAAAACTCTTTTGACACTAACTTTTCTTTAAAAAAATCTCAATTTTACGCCGAATGACTTATATAAAATTTTTTGCTGTCTACATACAAGCAGCGTTTTGAATAACATGATTAAAAAAAACTAAAGTGTTGCACGTGAATTGAACTAACACATCGTCAATATCGTCTCAATTTAAGAAACGGGGAAGTCCGCTTGCTTACCGATCACTTACTGACGGGACATTTGACGTACCGCGAGCGTAATGATCCGTAAAGGTGCAATCTCTCGAAACTTGAACAGAATTTATATCATGTAAAACCGTTCCAACCAGGTCGCGAGGTCGTGTTCCAATGCCGTGACGAGGGTCTTCTACGTGCCAGAGTACGTTGGATTCGCGGCAACGGCCTTCCTCTGCCACCCGGCAGCCGAGACATCAATGGTCGCCTGGAGATACCCAACATTCAACTTGAACACGCTGGAACCTACATCTGCGAAGCCTTGGGTTATCCACCGTCCACCTCCGGTCGTCAAGTGACCGTCGTTCTTACTGTCGAGAAATGTACGTTCATTATTATGCCTCTCTGATTTACAGCTATGATCGAAGAATTTATTTGCGATAAGATACAGTCACGAGAAACACTAATAACTTTATCTACTATGGCTTACTTAAGCAAATCGATTTTTACTGAATCCAATATTGAAAACTTTTTTAAATATTAATTAAAAATAAGAGATAATGTTTTCAATGTTTAAGGTGCAGTGAAGATTTAACTAGCCATTTAAAAGTATTGAATTATTCAGTGCTTTTAATATACTAAAAATAAGCAACTTCTAGTATTAAATTGACCAGTACTAAATTGGATTTCTGTAAAGGCATGAATAGTAAAATAAGTTTAAAATCTTAAAATAAGTTAATTAGAATAAGTTCTAATAATAGTTAAATCTTATTCTATAGAAATTAGTTATTTTGAGTATTAAAAGTACTATTTAAAATGAGTAATTAATACTCAAAATAAATAATTAATCACTATACCTACCTTTTAGTAAATTTCGGTAAAGGTGTATAACTGTCTATAAACAGCAAGTAAGCCATATTGAGTACTAACAATAAGCCATTTTAGGCGCAGTTATCTTAATAAATTTAAAATTCGCGTTTTAATGACTGAAAATCGCGTAATACCAAATTGATTACATGCAGTTGAACAACCGGCCACCAGACCACCACAAGTGTGCCAGTACGATCAAGCTACCTGCAGCAACGGCGATTGTATTCCAAAATCGTACGTTTGCGATGGTAAATTCGATTGCACCGATGGATCCGACGAGATGCGGTGCAGTAAGTATGATAGGCATCAGCGAAAAGCTGGATATATTCAGCATTCATACTTTATGGTGAAAATTTCACGCGAACGCTTCGTATGTCCGTTTCGACAGGTCCGCACGGATGTGAGCCCAACGAGTTTCGCTGCAATAATAAGCAGTGCGTCAGCAAGTTGTGGCGTTGCGACGGCGACAAGGACTGCGCGGACAACAGCGACGAGGAGAACTGCGCGCCGTCTCCCCCGGGATCTCCGTGCCGTTACAACGAGTTCGCCTGCAGCAGCAATAAACAGTGCATCCCGAAAAGCTACCACTGCGACATGGAGCGCGACTGCTTGGACGGCAGCGATGAAGTTGGATGCTGTCAGTAACGATAGGAATTTCATGAGCGCCAAGCATCAATATTTTGTTACAGATCGTCTGACAATCTTCGTTAAATAGTAGTTATATAATGTTCAAGAAACAGTCGAAATTATTATTTATCGTACATTTTACATTACATTTTAAAACATTTTACTATCTTGACGTTTCTATATGGAAGTTAAATTTAAATTTTATCTTTTCTATAATAATGAAAGAATCTTCTGCCTCACTGATAACAATACAATGAAATATCATTATTGTTGGCCACTGTAACCAGTCAGCCAAGACTGCTGCGTTCCATTATTCATTACGAGTACCGAAAATTTACAGTTCACGTTATGTATACTATAAATTTTCTTCAGTTCTTGCAACGAATAACAAAATGCAATCCAAATCTGCTTGAACAGATTTTATAAATTGTCTGGTAAATGTTATAGGAAAATTACAAATTTGATGCAGAATTTGTTACATTAGATGCTGACGATAGAATGCCACAAAATTGATAGCAGAAAGCAAACAAAATCTGCATTTGATAGATTCTGTTCGATTTCTGCTGCCAATTTGCGTCAAGTTATGTTTACAGGCTGTGCCAATAGAACACAAGATGGTACCGAATCTGCTGCATTTTTCTAATCAAATTGTCAATCTGCTATCATTCTGCGGACAGTTTACTTACTGAATATTAAATTAAGTCTATATATAATTTCTTTTCCCTTCAGCTCCCGTTTACATCGTGAAACCTCCACCGCCGATGGTCGTTCTCATGCCGGGCGACTTGTTGGTCCTCACTTGTACAGCAATTGGTGTTCCGATACCAGAAATCAACTGGCGTCTCAATTGGGGACACATCCCCGCGAAATGCACAACCGTGTCTACCAACGGAACGGGTACACTAACATGTCCAGACATACAAATAGAGGACCAAGGCGCATACTCGTGTGAGGCGTTGAACGTCGGAGGCTTCGTCTTCGCCGTGCCAGATGCCATCGTTGTCGTGAAGGAAAATGGCAATATCTGTCCTAAAGGCAAATTCAATTCCGAAGCGAAGACTGCTGAAGAGTGTATCTCATGCTTCTGCTTCGGCGTCGCCACCGAATGCCGCAGCGCCGATCTCTTCACTTATCAGATCCCGCCGCCGTTTGACCGCTACAAGATTGTATCGGTTGAGACCATTCCGACAATTAAAATCCACGGTGACATTAGCAATCAGATATCCCAGATCCGTCCGCTTGCCCGGGACGGTGTTCAGCTGTTAGAGTCTTTCAGTAATGATTTGAATGTCTACAACATTCCCTACTTTGCGCTGCCGGAGAACTATCACGGCAGTCAATTGAAGTCCTACGGCGGCTACCTAAAATACTCAATTCGCCACAGCGGTAACGGCACACCGAACTACGCCCCTTCCGTCATCTTAAGTGGCAACAATTACATCTTGGTGCACAAAGGTGAGGAACCAATACCGGATTACGAGAACGAGAGATCAGTCAGATTCTTCTATGGCGAGTGGTACAAGCAACAAGGAAGAAGCGAAGTTCTAGCTTCCAGGGAGGAAATCATGATGGCGTTGGCAAACGTTGACAATATTCTAATAAAGTAGGCATTGAGTCCAGAATCTTGATCATAAAATATATTAGAATAATATTTTTTTTTTAATACGTTCAATATGTTGCAGAGTGAAATACGACGACTCTCCGCAACTAGACGTTCGTCTCACTAATATTATTATGGACACCGCTGATACGCGAAATACTGGCCTAGGATCCGCGTCTTTCGTCGAGGAATGTCAGTGTCCTACAGGTACGTATTTCTTCAATGATCAATCAAGTATTTGTGTATAAAGTTCTATTTGTGTTATTATCTGAATTATCTTCAAGGATACACTGGTCTATCTTGCGAGCATTGCGCACCTGGTTATCTGAGACGCGAAAGCGGACCATGGCTTGGCCAATGTTACAGAGATGAACCACCGTGTCCTCCGGGATATTATGGCGATCCTTCAAGAAACATCCCTTGCCAGATTTGTCCTTGCCCACTTACCAACCCATCGAATCAGTAAGACAATTAAATTTGCCATTATTTGATATTTCAATTCAAAACACTTTGATAATTTATCATATTATAAATAGATTCGCTCGCACGTGTCATCTTGGCTCTGACGGCCAACCCACGTGTGATTGTCCTTCTGGCTACGTTGGACGCAGGTGCGAGCAGTGTGCCACTGGTTATCAAGGGAATCCTCTTATTCCTGGAGATATGTGCGTTCTGGTTCAGCAATGTGATCCTAACGGCAGTCTTAGTCCTAACGCCGATCCACATACCGGAAAATGTCATTGCAAGGTATATCGATGATAATCGCTGCTATTACGCATAATTTTGCACAGAATGTCTCAGAAATCATGCATTTTTTTTCGACTATAATCTCCAAAAAAGATTAAAATTGTTTTATCAAAAAATTTATGCGAAATAAATTGCGCAATTTCCTCGCATAACGATTTTATTATTATTCTTGCATCCATCTTCTGTGGATTTTTTTAACTTTAAAAATGTAAGTATATTTTATAGTCTTTCTATATATAAAAATGTATGTAAATCAAGATTTAGAATAAAAATGAGGTACAATGTCTCGATCGAAAACCATCGTCTATTCTCTAATATTTCTTTTTTTAGCAATATGCAACGGGTCTCACTTGCAACCAATGTAAGGCGAATACCTTTAATCTGGCCTCGACAAACCAATTTGGATGCATAGCTTGCTTCTGCATGGGCATCACCAACAGATGCGTCTCCTCTAACTGGTACAGGAACGAGGTACGATGAAGATATAATATATAGTGTCTATTTCCATCTTTGTCATATAGATCTCAAACAGAATACAAATAATGATCAAAAAATGACATTAAAATAGCTTCAAAAAATTACTTAAAAAAATCACTTTTCAATTAATTAAAATTTTTTTAACATCATTTTGACGTTATCGCATGATTTAATCTTTCCAACATGAGAAATTGTGTATATAAGCGAGATTTTATATTTCATTATATAAAGTTAATGCACAAAACAAAATGTTGTGTACTATTTTGTACAACTTCTATAGAAATATAAGTTATCTTGATTAAAATAAAAACTTAAATCTATCATTTGCACTTTGCAGATTCGTGTATCGTTTACCAACTCGATTCGAAGTTTCTCTTTGATCGAATCCAAGAGCACCGACACACCAGACATTGTAGAAGGAATTCATCTAAACACCATTAACCGAGAAATAGTTTATAGCGAGTTTCCCAATCGTGGTAACAACGACGTCTACTACTGGCAATTGCCCAGCATTTTCTTAGGAGATCAAATAACATCTTACGGTGGTAATCTCAAGTACACTGTCAGATATGTGCCTTCTCCAGGCGGTCAAAGTTCAAGGAACAACGCTGCGGACGTCGAACTCATTAGCGTGAGTGCACATTCGTGAGTCTTAATCAGCGTACTTGACGATGAAGATATAACAGATTAATTTAAAATGTATACAGGCTAACGACATCAACTTGCTTTACTATTCCCGCGAATCTCCCGAGCCTAACTCTCAGCAATCATTCACCGTACCATTGCTCGAGCAATATTGGCAACGTAATGATGGAACTCAAGCGGATAGGGAGCATCTTCTAATGGCTTTAGCGGATGTACGAGCCATCAGAATCAAAGCCACTTATACGACGCATACAGACGAAGCTGCGTAAGTACTTTATGCATTCTTGATTTTTAATCTTATATTCTATCACTTAATTGTGAATATCCTATATTCACAATTAAGTGATAACAATAAAGAAAAAACGACTATTTAACGACTATTTAAAAAAGCTATTTAAGCTTTTTAGAAGAATTATCCGAAAGAAACATTTCGAACTCTTTAAAAATGTTTATAAAATAGATAATATATAAATTTCCGACATTTTAAAACAAGAATGCTTTAAAAAATTTTTTAATTATCGTGATTGAGCAAGAGCATTATGTATGCTTCAGGCTCTCCTTCGTGTCTTTGGACACCGCCGAAAAATATAACACAGGTAAAGCTCGTGCAGTCGAGGTTGAAGAATGTACTTGCCCCGCTGGCTACAGAGGACTTTCATGCGAGGATTGCGACGTTGGTTACACCCGGGCCATTGAAGGTCTCTACTTAGGCATCTGCGAACCGTGCAACTGTAATAATCACACGAATCAATGCGATCCCGAAACTGGCACTTGTGAGGTAATAAAAACAATTTTAATTGAGCGACGACGTTACGTTTTAATTAATGAAATTCTTTTGTTTTTTTTTTAATTTAAATTTAATGAAAAAGTTTAATCGTTTAGACTTAAAATAGCTATATTGGTAACTGCTTAATTTAAATACAATATTTTTCCAAAATGCAATTTTATATATTTGGTATAAAGATATAAAATATAAAAATATAAAAACTTAACTGAAATTAATTAGAATTTTATAAAAATATGGCTATGTAAATATGTAGATAAGGAATCAGAAGTATTTGATACAAAAATTGATACCTTACGTCGACAGAATTGCGCTCATCATACTACGGGAGAGTACTGCGAACTATGTGAACCGGGATACGAAGGAGACGCTACTCGAGGCACCCCGAACGATTGCACGTATAGAAGTCAGAGACCTGAGCCATGCAGATGCAACGAGGCTGGTTCACGCAGTACTTCTTGCGTCGACGGTCGATGCGAGTGTAAGAGGAACGTCGAGGGTCCAGAATGTAATCGATGCCGCCCGTCGACATACGGATTACGCGTCGAGAACATTGATGGATGCATCGAGTGTTACTGCAGCGGAGTAACTGATCAATGTCATGAGAGTACATTATACGTACAACAAATACCGATGTGGGTATATGACTCCCATCATGGCTTCACTCTTACGGACTCGTAAGTATGCTTCATTTTTTCAAGTTTTTTTTTAAGTTAATATAAGCATGAATAAAAATTTTATTATTTTTTCCCTGTTTTATTTTGATAAATAAAATTTGTACATATAATAATAGCAAATAAAATTAGAATTTGGAATGAATTGATTTAATGTCCTTATTTAGAACTAGACGCGATATAATTGACGACGGCTTCGAGCTAAATGTGGCAATGAATGAAATCGGCTACCGCTATCCGGACAGTAGAAGCCGCAGATTATTCTGGTCACTTCCGAGTGTTTTCACCGGTAACAAAGTGAAGAGTTACGGCGGAAACTTGACTTTGACGCAGCATATCACCGCGTATCCTGGCGCTCAGAGTTACAAAGATCAAGACATTTTGCTAATTGGCAACGGCATTACATTATTCTGGACGAATCCGGTGGAGCTGCAGCCTGAAATTCCACTAGTATGTAGATTAGATGTTATATTTTATAATTTTTTGAGAAGATCGAAAAACTTGATGCCTGAACCCAATTTGCCACAAAATTTGTAAAATTTTGATATTTTTTACCATAGTTGTTCTAATAAAATTTCTTTACCCATTATTTAATTGAATATCTACATCATTTATCTTCAAATAATTTAATTTATAGTATTATATGTATAAAACACCAAACTCTATATAATGCTATAAATTAAATTAAAATCCAAATGTTTCACAATTATAAAGACGTACATCTTTCAGACTTACACCGTTCCTTTGAAAGAGCATGAATGGAGAAGACTGACCACCGAAGGACCGCGCAGCGCTTCCAGGACAGATCTCATGATAGTGCTTTCCAATCTAGAAGCTATCTTGGTCCGCGCGTCCCACAGCGAGCGAATGACCGCAACATATATCAGTGACATCAGCATGGACACAGCCGTAGAAAATCTGATTGGAAACCGACGTGCGACTCAGGTTGAAGCTTGTCGCTGTCCGACCGGTTACACGGGTACTTCCTGCGAAACCTGCGCTCGCGGTTATTATAGAGACACCAGCGATCGGACTATCAGTTACTTGGGCGCGTGTAATCCCTGTCCATGCAACAAAAATGAAGAGAGCTGCGAAATCAGCAGATCTGGTCATATCAAATGCCACTGCCTGCCAGGATACACGGGACAGTATTGTCAAGACAGTGGTGTCGGTAAGTAATAGCGCTTCTTAACGCTATAAAAATTAGAAATAATATTTCATTCACATAATGTTTCCAATTATTCGTTCTCAAAAAGACAACTTTGAAAAAGAATTGAATGATAAATTGGACTAAATTATATTTATAATGAAAAAATATATCGTTCTACGGTAAAAAGAAAATAATCTACAATCAAATTATCTGATTTGTTATATTTGAATATGTTTTTGGAAGTGAGAGCAGAATTTTTTTCGTCAAGATTTTACATTTATACATTATAGTAAAGAAAAGATTTTAAACTCATTCTTCTCTCCTAAGAATAGTAATGAACAATACGTTGGTCAGGTGAGCTCATGGTAAGCCTAATGCCGATGAACGGCGAAGTCGAGCCGTATTCCACGATCCAATTTACGTGCAACTATGACTATCCAGACATGTTTTACATCTATTTTAAATTGTCGTCGTTCGACGGATTTCCCATAACTGCACGGAGTGGCGAAATCGGCCCGATAATGAAGACAGAGAAAGGAGCTATCCGCACTTGGTTCGTTCACATGGGGAACGTCCCCTGCAACGTGGAGTGTCACATCGTGAGTGACCGCGGCAAAGAATTGGTCAAAATTGTGACATCGATTACGCCAGGTTTGACGGACTAAATAGCGAGAGCTTTCGCATCTTGTCCGTCCATCGGTGATTCATGGCAAGGGCTCGGATTATCATTTCACAATCATACCTGCGTTGTTGCCAGGTCATCGTAAATCATTATTGTAGTATCATTATCACCGAGCCTGGTGAAGGTACTTTCTTGGATTTGTAATCTTCATCACGGTTCTATAGTTTTTCGCAGGATTAATATTTGCGGAAAAGCTTGACTGTTTTTCTGGTATATGGTATATTCAGTATCACGGATGTCCTGTCGATGTACAGTAAAATATGTGTACTGTAGCAATTAATACAAGTGTATCATTCTTCGAAATAACCGTCATTGTAATGATGTCTTATCAAATTGTAATGATTGCATCCTTGTGTTACAGACGAATGTCGCTTATTCATTGCAATGTATCCACAAAATTGTTAAATTCAATAATTCCATATCTCTCTGTTGTTATTCGTCATATTGTTTTATTGTTGCACCAAGTCTACTGCAACTTTCACGATTATGAGAGAAACAGAGAGAAATCGCATTTGTCGATTTTTCAAATCAATCAATTTTTTATTTCCGTCACAGTTGGAGAACCGCAAACAACTAGTACGCAGAGCTCAGTATCTCCACCGAAAATCACAGTTTACATACAAGAAAATGAATTCCAAATCGTCCATACAGGAAAAACCGTCCGATATCATTGCACAGGCAGATCTAGAGAACATGTAAGTCTTTTATTGACTCCTCTTATAAAATGCTTTTATAATTGCAATTTCTTTTTATGATTAAAAATAGGAATCGGTGAACATTAGATGGGAGAAAGAAGGTGGTCAATTACCGCCTGATAGGAGCGTGGACGACTCAAATGGACTTTTGGTAATTAGAGATGTGAAGGTGTCTGATAGCGGCATATATGTCTGTCAAGTGAGCGACGGAACAAACATTGGATATAAAAAAGTCACACTAACTGTTGGAGGTATAGCGTAAATATGATTAATTTTAATTGTATCGCATCAAACTTAATATAATCTCGTAAATTATTTTACTATAAATTTTACGAAACAAATTAAAAAATAGATTAATTAATAAATCTCAATGTTATTTAATTATTATACATTGTATTACTGGATGCAGCGTTTCCACAACACTTACTAGAAATACCAGGTACAAATCATAATCATGTCAAATCCGTGAATAGAATTTATGTAATTTTATGCCTTCTTTAAGGAACCAATCCGGTAGAGCCTAGAGTCTCTATAAGTCCATCATATCAGCAAGTGAGGGAAGGTGAACCTGTTGAGTTCCGTTGCGAAGCCACTGGTAATCCGGTACCTCAACTGGATTGGATAAGAGTTCACGGAAGCATGAGTCCGGAGGCGACATTCTACAACGGCGTATGGAGTCTTCCAGCCGCGTCGAAGAACGATGCAGCCGAGTACAAGTGCGTCGCTAGGAACAACGTTGGCATAGATGAGAAGACGACCATCTTATACGTTCAAGGTACGGTCAAAGCATTCAGAAATCTCGAACATCACGAAATTTAAATCTCAAACTATTGTAGATCATACGAGAATTATTTTTTAATCCTTCGTTTGGATCTTTTTTCTCCAGTCCAAGTTGTTCACTGTTTTAGGTTTTCAAAAAAAATGTGGAAAAATTTAAAGTTACTTTTTAATATCTTTATTACACATTATTAAATAGGTTTCTCTTATTTTAGAAGAGGAGAACCGGATTTCGCTGTCCTTTATTTTGGAAAAATTTGAGAGTCGAATTCGATTGCATCAAAAAAGATCTAGATTGCAGATGGAGGATTAATATTTAATAGTATTAATCTGAAACTTACAGTTATAATTCGTGCTTTATTAATGATGACTTCACATTCTTCGTTGCAGATAATCCTAATAAACCACCACCTCAAGGCTTACCGCCGACTATAACTCCGTCCGAATGGTCCGGAACCAGCGAAGATGTCGTCAGGTTGATCTGCACACCGTCTCAACACGTGAATGTCACTTGGACGAGATCCGGTGGATTGCCGTTACCTTATACCGCCAGTCAACGTGACGGTATTTTGACGATCACCAATCCCACCCCCAGCGATTCCGGCATATACGTGTGTACCGCGACAAGTGTTCGCGGAACGGAGACGAGTACCACTGCCAGGATTACGATAATGTCTCGGAGAGAACCACCATTGGTCACGGTCAGGCCGTTTCGACAGGAGGTGAAACAGGGCACTGTGGCTGAAGTACGATGCATCACTAGCGGAGAACCAGGTTTACAGGTGAAATGGAGCAAGTACACGGAAACGATGAGCTCCCGTGTCCAACAGGTAGGAGACACGCTCAGGATCATTAACGTCCAGGTCTCCGATCGAGGAGTATATCTATGCCGGGTTGCTGGCCCCACAGGCAATTATGAGGCTAGTGCCATCATCGAAGTTGAACGTAAGCTCATAGTACTTAAAAAAAAAAAAATTCTCTAAGTCTGCTATATATGTAATTTATATTCAAATGACTAAGCAAAAAGCGTTTAAAAATATTTGAATGAAATAAATTTTTATTCTCCAAATTATATTAAAAAATCATGTGATATAAATCAGAAAAGAATGCACATTTTTATAATTTTTAAATAGTGCAATTGGCATCAAATTACTGATTTTTCATATAAATCAGATATAAAAAACTCATTTTCATTCCAATTCTTTATTAATTCTGCAAGATCAAATTGTCTTTTTATTGCAGCTCGTGAAGCTCCAGTTTTAGAGCTGTATCCACAAGATATACAAACGGTCATCCTCGGCGGTTCCGCCGATCTTCAGTGTCGCGCGAAGGCCGGTTTCCCAGCGCCCGAATTGCGATGGTCTCGCGTAGACAATCGACCATTCGCCTCCAATATCGAGCAACTTCCTAGTGGACTCCTCAGACTGTCGAACATCACAGCGAACGACGGCGGTGCCTACATCTGTTCCGCGTCAAATGAAGTCGGTTCGACGTCAGTCATCGCGCATATCGAGGTGCAGTCTATGCCTGTGATCACTATCACACCGCAGCACGGTATCTTGCAGGTGAAACGCGGAAGTCGAGTTCGTTTGATGTGCAGCGCGAGCGGTCATCCGCAACCCAATGTGGCTTGGAGCAAATATGTGAACGGAATAACGATACAGTAAGTTCACTTCATTGTAGTCTTATGAACTAATAACAATTGTAGAAATTAATTTTTAATGACTTTAACTATTAATTTTAAAGCGTAAATTTTTACATTATTGAAATTATATAACATTAATTATAATACAATTTTGTAGTGTCTGAGCAATAAAAGAAAATTTTATTACACTATATATAAATTATATTATAATATTAAGCATTTAAAAATTAAGCTTAAATTACAATTTTTTTTGTGACATTATTATGATTTATAGGGACACATATAGCAGAACAGCAGCTACTCCTTTAAGTGCCGTTTACGAAATATTCTCTGTTTCACCCGATGATGAAGGATCTTACACTTGCACAGCTACGAACGCCGTAGGAATAGCCGAAGAACGTGTCCAGATCCGCATTGAGGATGATGACGATTACGTGCCTTGCACTGGCGACAGAGGCGATATTCCATGCGACGATGATCGACAGCGACCACCTGATTCTGTAAGTATTATAATTTTGTCGCCTCAATATACAATGCCACGTTTTTAATGAAAAATGATTTACAGAGGGACCCGAACAGGGATCAAACAGAGGGAGGAGTATTAATTCCCAAAGATTACTTGAGAATCCCGGACGGTGGCAAAGTGGAGATGCGTTGTCAGGTCTTCGGACCAGATGGAGACCACATCTATCTGGACTGGAAGAGAAGCGATCATCGTTCCCTCCCAGAAGGTAGCACAGTGCACAATGGAGTGTTAAGTATCCCAACTGTTGATAGAAACGCTGCTGGAGAGTACATCTGTTTGGGCTTGGATCCTGCCGGCACAGTGCTCTTCCGGGCGAAATCTCATCTCGAAATTATATGTGAGTATGAGACGAGTATAAAACGCATCGAATTAATGTACAAACAAATTGCAAGATTTAAACCACATGGAATAAATAAATTTGAAATCGATTTTTCTTTAACAGTTTCTTTAAGAAAAACTGCATAAAGACTAATTAATTTTTTTCTTTGATTTTAGCTCCACCAAGAATTGAATTAAATCCAACGCGCCAGACAGTAGGACCTGGAGAAAATCCATCTATAATTTGCACCGCTACGGGAGATGAACCTCTGCACATCGAGTGGAAAGCCATAGGACGTCCGTTACCATATTCTGTATCGGACAGCGGTGGCATCCTGCAATTCCATGGCATCACATATTCCGACGCTGGCAAATACGTGTGCAAAGCAACGAACGCAGCAGGAACGGCGGAAGCGGTAGCAGAAGTTTTAGTTAATGGTTAGTTAATAATCAGTTAGATTTTTAAATTTGCAATATAAATTTTTTTTTATTTTCTCTTAAATAATTACATTTATATAAAAAAAGTTATTTAATATTAAAAGAAAAATCTAAGAAAAAAATATATAACGCAATTATATAGTATATCTTAAAAACAAATATATTTTTTTTATGTGAAATCCAGTAAACAATCATCAGTAACACAACTATTAGTTATAATTCTTCACTCACTAATATAACTGTAATATAATATGTATTATATTACAGTTAAATATAATATATAAAAAAATATTATTGAATAGAAAATTATAACTATAAATTATAACTAATTATAATAATTATGTTACTGATAATTAGTGATTACTGAGAATATTCGTACATAAAAAACATTAATTGGTAAAAATGTATGATTTTTTAATCTTTGCTAAAACAAAATAATATGTTTAAATATCCGTCAAGCCTAAAATGTTTATTAAATATTTGAGGATTGCTCAGTGCAGCAAACTATAATTGATATTTACGATTTGCAGAACATCCTTACGACAATGCAAGGATCCGCGCTGAACAAAGAGACGTAGTAACTCATGCCGGTAATTCTGTACGCTTACGTTGTGAGGTGCGCGAACGTGCGACGATCCATTGGAGCAGAGAAGGGCTATCGTTGCCGACCAACGCGCGAATCGGAGAAGATTACTTAGAGCTGACGCAAGTGAAACCGGAAGACAGCGGAAGATACATCTGTCAGATCCAGACGAGCCGCGGTGTATCCAGCGATTATATTAATTTCAACGTTTCTCGTAAGTTTAGCTATATTTTCACTAAGTTTCATCGTTTCAGCATCATATCATAGATTTTTGCTTTCATTCGAATGCATCTATTGAAGATCGCAGTACACACGCTAAATGATATGTCGCCTATTGAAAAATCCTAATTTTTGCCTTTAATTCTTTCGGGATATTATAATGTTATTCTGACTTTTAATATCTCGAAAGGATTAAATCCCAAAATGCTTTTTTTACAAAATACTTTGTTTGCTATTTCTCAGTGATTTTTCATCAATAGAACATTTTGGATTTCTGGTTCATATGACGATTTCAATTTCTCGTTCAGGACGCGACGGATATAAAATGCCAATTTCACGTTTGTCTTAATAAAAAAAAGAAGCAGCACAGAATGATTTATCAAAAACTTAAATAATTAATATATATATATATATATATATATAATACATATTTAAACAATAGCAATTTAAAAATAAGTATTATTTTATAAATTTATACTAATCCGCATCACTCATATCACTAACAAGCGCGCAGCAGATTACTCTCAGACAATACAAACAGCAAAAGACATCGTGCGAAAGCATTAAAGGGAACACATCAACAAACAATCTGAAATTCAAAATTTTCTGTAATCAACTATTGCGTAGATTTTTAAAAAATGTAAGGATATATTATATAATATATAAATTACAAATTTGCTAAATATTAAATATTTTTAAAAAATTTATATTGAAACAATTCTCTCCGCCGCGGCATGATCGGACAGGTGGTAGGTTTCCAGAGGATGACCTAAAATAAAAAAAAGAGTTTAGACTATCTTTAATTGATTTTGGAAGTTTAAAATAGAAAATACTAAATTTAAGACACTTATTAATTATATCTTCGAAAATACAAAACGAATATTAAAAATTAACATTACACAATATCATGTTGTACATTATCATACCAATAACTAAAGAAAAAAATGGCATTTATTGTCTGTAACATATTCTTCGGAATATAAAACGTAATTCAGTTAATTATCATTGAGATATTGCAACAAGCAGACAAGAAAAATGATAGTATACCGGTTTATCCCACTATCCTGCTTTCAATCTCCTCTAATTTTGGGCAAATTTGGATAGATTGTGTATCCCTAAAATAAAAATTAATCTACGTAATAGTTGACTTTAAAAAAATCTTGAATTTTAGACTCTGTCAGAATAATATGACTCCTTAAACGTTTAGATGTCTCTTGAATTTTTGTATAGTTTGGTCTATAATGAGATCATGTATATTACAAACGTGGTTCCATGAAGTTTCCACAAGTTTAGGTTTTTTACAAAGCTCGCGTTGTGATTTAGTAGTTAATTTGCTTGCGGATTGCATGCCAGTGTACCGATCGCAGTGCAGGCACTGGGAGTATCAATGCAGAAGCCTACAATGCATTCCGATGGAATACTTTTGCGACGGCTATATTCAGTGCAACGACGGTACTGACGAACGCTTCTGCCGCAACGCGCGCTATCGCCAATATCTTCAGAGACGACGCGGTTTGTTTTGAGATATATGTGTGTCGTGTGATGTCCCGTAGTTTTCCTACTCGTAGTGAACTGTCCTTTCTTGCTTATTGTACGAACTCATGAGGAAAGGATACGGATTAAATTAAATTAAATTAAATTATGATGAAGACTCTTTAACTAAAGACACCAAGCTCGGCAATGTGTACAAATAAGTGAAAAGATTGTAAAAAACGAAGTTACGAGTTTCCCGCCAGTTATCTTTTTATAAAATGTAGAAGAATCTAGTGCGGAAGAAGTATCACCCGTATCCCATCCTTGTTAGCAGCAAATACGATATGTGTAATCAATACATATACTTTTTAGATTTTAATTCGACGCTATTTTTTGTTAAAACTTTTATTCTGAGTAAATCTCTATGTAATATTCTTCTACAATCTTTGAATGCTAATATTAATTATTCCTTCAATAAGAAATAAGTTTTCTTTATTTACGTAATTTTTCCTGACGAATTTCAAACATGATATATAAGGAGTTTAGATACAGATACATGCATAAAACGCTGCAAACGCATCTCGAAGTTCATTTTAGAAATCGATAAGACTGTAGTATCTTCATGTTATGTGCAAAACAGGATATACATTTCCTAATTCTACGATCAATCTTAACAGATATAGCCAACATGCATAATTCGATTCTAGCTGCGGCAGTGCCTTCAGTAAGCATCGAAGTGTCTCAAGATCCAATAAACATCGGCGACACCGTTGATATACATTGCACATACACTGGAACACGCAATCCACGTTATCGCTGGACGAGACCGAATCATGTGAGCCTACCAACAAACGCACAGGAGTACGGCAACGTCTTGAGGCTAACTAATGTAGTCGTTAGCGATAGCGGACCCTACAGATGCACAGTTGACACATCCGAAGGCGTACTCGCGAAGGACTTCAATTTGATTGTCCACGGTAATTAATAGACAAACAATTAATATATATGTGACAAACATAGATAATGAACTATTTATATGAAAGATTACACGTATATTCTTCTACGTATATCTCTTTTAATGCACAAATATCTACTTTTTGCCAATGCCCACTCAAACTGCGCATATGTTTTATGTAAGTATAAAGCCGACGAATAATTAATTTTATTATGAAAATTATTATGGACAAAAGATTTTATGATTTTCCAGGCGGAATTCTCGATGAACCAGCGATTGAAACCAAATTGGCGCCGTACGGATCAAGTCTGGAAATGGATTGCCGGTTAGATCTCGATCCACCAATACAATTCCAATGGAACAAACTCGGTGGACTTCTGCCACGTGACAGTCAGACTTACGAGGTATATAAAATGCATACGTATCATATACCTATTTCTATCTAATCAGGAATTTAATGATAATTTCCTTAGCGAAATTTAATACTGGAAAGTAGTGATTACTTATTTTAAGTATTAAAAATATTATATTGTTCAATGCTTTTAGTACTCAAAATAAATAAATTTCCAGTATTAAATTGAATTTTTATAAATGTTATATTATTTTAATAAAATGTTTTATGTCATTCGCGATAATTTGAATTATATAATTTTCATTTTGCAGAACAAATTAAAATTAACTAATGTAAAGGCTGAAAACGCTGGAACGTACATTTGCTCCGGAAATAATGAAGAATCGCGAGTCGAAGTACCTACGGTGCTAGTTGTAACAGGAGTTGTGCCTAATTTTAGTCAGGCACCTGAAAGCTACATTGCTTTCCCTCCTCTACCTGACTCCTACCTCAAGTTCAACATCGAAATCTCTTTCAAACCGGAAAGTTACGATGGCATTCTGTTATACAACGACGAATCTGGTCATGGTGACGGCGACTTTATCGTTTTATCTCTAAATAACGGATATCCACAATTCAAGTAAATAAAACAAAATCTTAATAAATAAGTATGAAATGCATCACGAGTAGCGCCTTTTATTTTACTTGTAGAGTTCCAACAAACATGGAGTCCATTGACTTTTATCTGAAACTTTATCTAAATAAAATTTTGACTTAATTATATAATTAAAAATAATATTTTTAATTTAAAAATAATATTTTTAATTTAAAAATAATCGACATTAAATTCAGCATAGAAATTGTAATAAAAAGTGGATAATTTCCTAAACGCGGGTTATTAACGTAACGAATTTCTTAACAGATTCAATCTCGGTTCTGGACCAGCTGTTATTCGCGCGGATAAGCCTGTCACCTTGAGCGAGTGGCATACTATTAAGATCCAACGCAATAGAAAGGAAGGAACGATGCTGGTGGACGGCGAAGGCCCTTACAAGACGGTTGCTTTAGGCAGACGTCAAGGTCTTGATCTTAAAGAACCCCTTTACATCGGCGGAGTGCCCAGCTATAGCAGAATCAACGTGCAAGCCGAAGCGAACACTGGTTTCGTCGGATGCATCAGCCGACTAGTTCTCGGTGAGAAACAAGTCGATCTGATTGGCGATCAGACTGACAGCGTGGGCATTACGACTTGCGAAACCTGCGCCGAGAATCCCTGCAACAATGGTGGTGTGTGTCAAGAAGCAGCCACGAAAAACGGCTACACATGTCTGTGCCGAGCCAGTTTCAGCGGCAAACATTGCGATAACATCGGACAGTCCTGCTATCCAGGTATGATAATTTATCACATTTTTTAATTTATACTTTTTGTCCAGTTTGCTATGACTACAAAATGATGTCTATCTGATCTATCAATATTAATTATCTATTTTAATAGTTATAATTATTAATTTTAAAAATCGCATGCATAATATATATATGTATTAAATATTATTTTTAAAAAATTTTAATATTTTATTGCTCCACAATTTAAAGTTTTTAAGCAATAAGAGACTTGTAATACTAAACACATTGAATGATGATATTAGGTGCCTGCGGAGAAGGTGAGTGCATCGATGAAGAAGCCGGCGGCTTCCATTGTTACTGTCCAATCGGGAAGACGGGATCAAGATGCGAGCATTCGGTGAACGTCTATGATCCGTCTTTCCATGACGACAGAGCTTTCATCGCTCACGAGACTCCAAAAGCTCTTAGACGGTAAGTACCTTTGCTTGATCGAACGCACGTGCACGAATTATTTCTTAATTGCACTTAGTCGATGTTAGAAGCGCACATAATGGAACATATTGTCACGGTGATTGTGTCTCATTATTTTATTTTGAGTTTTTTAAGTGATTATTTGTATATAGTTCACCTGCGAAAAATGAATGAAATAAAAAAAATTATAATAAGACACACTCTGGAAAATTATTCTTTAAAATATTACAAGATATGAGCAGTTTCGAATATAATTAATGATTAATAACAATTGTACAGTTAGAAATAAATTTTATTTAATAAATTTTGTATTCTTCTGAAATATTTGAAACACGAAAAAATCTTTATCTAGATATAAGAATATTATAAATATAAATATATATTATAAAAATCTATTTTTATGCCTTTGACGAACTAACAGATTTAACTATAATTGGAATATAGGTATTAATCTCATTGTCAGTGCATATGAACATCCTCAAGCATCCTAATTACTAAAATTCTTTTCAGGTAAAGAGAGAGTTAGACCACTACACACAGTCGATCACGATTACGCAACGCACAAATTAGGAAACCACGATCAAGGCCACATCACCACAATAATTTGCACCACACAAAACATTAGCTAGACCTAGCACCAATTTTACGCACTCAGAGAATCATTACTTATCCAATCACAACAATAAACTTTTCCCTCCGTCTAATAAAAATCACCGTACATAATGAGCTATCTAAATTTTTTAAGATATGTTTATGCCTGTATCCGAAAAGATTAGTCAGCTCGATTTGTTTTTGTGCCAATTTTTCACTGCCTTTTTTCTTTACGCGTAGTGGCGATGGTTATGATAGTAAAAAGAATAAGCAATGAATTCTTAACAGGTAGTTGGCGAGCCTGCATAGTGCGTAGTTCTTTGTAATGGACATGGTGCTGTAACGTTAGAACAACAGTCAATATATATATATATATTTACGAATTAGTAATTAATACGTTTTGTACAGCTTCTTAATTAATACATTTAACGCGTCACTTTAGTCATTATTAATTATTAAAAGTAATACGTGAAGTCACTGCCAAATCAGTCGCATTTAACAGTTAGTCCCCACTCAAGCTTAGAAAACGTCAAAGTCGTAACAATCACATACGTGTATATGACAGTTATATATGACAGCATATGTAAAATGTTTGTACTATATATATATATATATATATATATATATATATTATAAAAGAAAGAGATGTTTCACGTACGAAAAATCGTTTATATACTCAGCAGACTCATGCTATACGAATAAATATTTTTAAAGCAAATAAACGGAAGTTAATGTAATAAGTCACATACGTTAATTTAAGTTAATGTTTTATTCGATTTCATCACCTTGCATGTCGTAAAACGTTAAAAAAATATAAAACAAAGAGGTAAGTTTTAAGACAAAAACATTATTTATATATTTGTTTTTATAGTTTACTTAAACGAGCTTCTAAATGTTCATGTACATATACGTATGTATAAATCCTTTCCTGTCTATGTTCTTTTCAATCCTTTTGCACGTGTGCTTTCGTGTGCAAGTCGTAACAGATTTGATTGCCATTAAACTAATTTCAGTTAGCTTTCTTTTTTTATAAAAAGTATAAAGCAAAGAATAATTGAGTTATTCATATAAATATTTTACGCATAAGGAGGATAAAAACTAAAAGTGTGCAAATTGAGTTTTATAATAAACAAACTAAATGAAAGACTAACACACGGCATATATTACTTAAGATCCTTTGAAAATATAAAATAATATTTTTCTTATCTGTTCTATACCTAATTCTAGGCTTAAGGTAGCCATGAGTTTTAATCCGGTGGACTCTGGAGACGGAATCTTGATGTATTGTTCTCAAAATGACGAAGGCCTCGGAGATTTTGCAGCACTCGTGATAAAGGATAGGCATGTCGAGTTTCGCTTCGATATCGGCTCTGGAATAGCGGCAATAAAATCACCTCATCCCGTTCAACCTGGTGTATGGGCGCATGTGACGGTGAATCGAGATTTCAAGGATGCGAAACTGTCGGTGAATGGTGAACCATTTGTGGAGGGCAAGTCACTTGGAGCTGCGAGAACTATGAACCTAAATACGCCTCTTTATATCGGAGGGGTTGATCACAGAAGAATCACGATCAATCGAAACGTCGGTGTTGATCGTAGCTTCCGTGGATGCATAAGTGAAGTAAGCAAAATTATTGATTATTTAATTAGATATCAAACTCCGTAATTAGCTCTGTCTAATATTATTATTTAACAACAGCTTTATTAAAAAAAGAAATCATAATATCTCGTAATATTTTTTATTTTGAATTTGTAGAGCTTTCTGAAAAATGCCTTAATCTTCAAATTTTATGTTTTTTTTTTTTTAATGGAAATTATATAATGAAGATCTTAGAATACTTTAAAATTTATATTTTATATATATATATATATGTAATTTTAGAAAATATCTACCTAAAAAGACTGTTTCTCATTATTTCTGAAAAGTGTTTTCAATTCATTATATAATTTCCAAAAAAAAAATCAGAGAAATTTTTTATAAAATAATAAAATCATATAAAAATTCTAAAAAATTTAGAGATACATACACTTATAAAAATCGTTAAAAATTATATGATAAATTTCAGGAAAAATTTTTGCCAAAGAAATTTTCTATGAAATCTAAAAAACATTTCTTCTAAAAATATTAGTGTAAATAAAATAAGAAGCTTATTTTTTATTTTGATATCCGACATTTAATATATTTTGTTACTTTACCTAACTAAATTAATGAGGGCTTTCCAATAAAATCTTAAAGAAAAGCTATATTTATAAGAAATAACTTAAAGTATTACAATAAGACGAAAATATATAATAATTAACAAATTTCATCGCAATAGAGAAGAAGAAATTCCATTTTTAATGGATATTTGTTAAATTATATTATAGCTCGAAGTTTCGTCAGTCAGTTTGGATATAATGAAGTCATCAATCGACGCGGCTAATATCGAGGACTGTTCAGAGCCTCATCCGAATCAAACAATGATTCATACTACTATCACTACTCCAGCATCCACGCAACCACCGACAACGTTGTACTATCCTTGTTCATCGAACCCTTGCATCCATGGTCAGTGTCAAAATTTAAACGATGATTATTCGTGTACATGCGAATACGGATACGCAGGCAGAAACTGCGAGAAGATGCAAAAGCAATGTGAATTTCTTACCCCATGTAGAAACAGTGGTACTTGTACAGATCTTCATGACTCCTACAAATGCGATTGTCGTCTTGGTTATAACGGGCAAAATTGCGAAAAGTGTGAGTACGAAAAATATGTATACTATTTATTATATCTAAATTATAATTAATTGTGCAAAAAAAATTAATTTCCTAAATTTTTAAAAATACATGTGTATGTAAAAAAAAGACGAAAATTATTTCTCGTAAACGCTTGTATATAATATATAGGTCTCTTTATATAAGATACGTTATAAAAAGTGTCATAATAATTAAAACATAGTTAAATATGATTTAATTATATTATATTAGAATTGTATATTTAAAATGTGTAATAAAATAATTAAAAAAATAGAAATAAAATAATTATGAATAATGTGATTATATACTTATAGTGGCAGAGATTACGTACGATGTTGCTTTCAAAGGAGATGGCTGGCTGGAACTAGACAGATCTGTTATGATGCACGAAGAAGAGCGTGAGGTTTTTGGTCTCGAGATCAGCACTAATAAGAGTTACGGATTGATTATGTGGCATGGTCAAACGCCGAACGATCTAACTCCCGATGATTACATCGCTGTTGCTGTAGTAGATGGGTAAGCAATACCGAGCGTACTTTAATAACATTTATAATCTATTTTCACTATTTTTTTAAATTTAATTGAATTGAAAAATTGCATTTTCTTATTTAAAATTTTGAATTGAGCAGTATTCTCACGATACGTTTAAAGACTAAATACGTTTAAAGACTAAAAACTAAATTTTTTTTTAATTGAAAGGCATAGAACCGTCCGTTATTCTAATTTTAAGACATTTTGAATCTTTGTATATTTATACTATTTTTGTGTTCCCAGATACGTGGAGTATCAATACAACTTGGGCTCTGGTCCTGCTGTAATTCGCATCACCGCCCAGCGCGTCGATGACGGGGAACGACACAGGATAATCCTGAAACGTCAAAGAAGCGACGGTAGCATCGAACTGAATGGAGAACATACCGAAAGCGGTGTCAGTGACGGACTTCAGCAAATTCTTGATGCAAGGGGTAACGTTTACTTGGGTGGTTTACCTGATTATGCAATGACTTACGGTAAATATCACGACGGATTCTCCGGTTGCATTTATACGCTGGAGGTGCAGGACTCAGGGGCTATCGATATCGGCGAGAAGGCCATCAAGGGAGTAAATGTCTCCCCATGCACCAGGTAAACATTGCACCAAAATAAAAAAAAACATTTTTTCTCCAAATTTCATAGTATTAGTAGTACAGTATTTTTTTATATTAAAAAAATCATTTCTACTATTTGAAGCTAATTTCTTCTTACAGATCTTTAGATTTTTATTAGTAAATTTAACAATTTAGATTATAACAATAATAGTTAACTCAACAAATGATACACAAAATTTGATTTTTAATTACTTGCCAGTAATCTAATGAATTGTATTCTAAAATTTTTAGAGTGAATCTCATTCTGAAAAGTGAAATTTCATTCTTAAAGATTTTAAATTGAGTTACTTTTTTTAAAGATTGATTCACTTTTTACTGTTTAGAGTGAAATTTCACTCCAAAGAATTTAGAGAAAGAAAAAATTATTCAAACAATATATTAATTGTTCAAATAATTTCTACAATTCATTAGAAATATGAAAATTATATGCGGTAACGTTTGAACTGACTAACATCATTGGATATTTATTTCGCATGCTGCTCAGAGTAAGATGGATACCATCTTCGCTAGTATTCACAGATGCGGATGCGGATGGATTCGATGCGTTTGTACCACCGCCGCCGGTGAACATTATTCATCCGAAACCCGCGTCCAATCTTGCCGCGTATGACATGACAAGTTATTCATTATTAATTATACTTCAAAATCTCATCGCTTTGACTAGGGACATTAAGGAACAAAGTGTACTTCTCACGCTGTTATGCGTAGACGCAGTTAACGTTTTCAACGGCTTGTTAAGCTAAATGAATAGAACATTATCGATTTCACTTGTCGGAAATACACATTTCCCTTTAGACCAAATCATGTTATTATCAAATCATGCTGCAAATGTACAGTACTCTTTAAAGGGTGTGTATTTCTGCGAGTTTGCATAATATGTACAGTTAATAAACTTGTAAATTATTTAATGCTTAACACCGACGTTGGAAGTAACACGGTGAAATTACGGTACGTCACTTTTCTATCATTTCTTTCTTCTGTTACAAATATTAATGTCGACATTCATTACTAATGCATAATATGTAAACTTGTTTTTAAATTAATACTGAACAAAATTCTTGTAATATCTCATAATATTTTAAAAAATTTATCATATTTTAACTTTTAGAAGACGAAGATCTGTTTTTGAAATCTATAACTTTTTCTTAAATAATAAGATTTGTTATGATTCATTATTTTTTATTGTATTTCTTATCTCAAAATACAATATGAGTATAAAAAATACAATATACTGTATCTGCACCACTATAATGGATTTCTCGTTCTATAAAAGTTAAATTTATAAAGATTTCTAAAAAAAATATCTTAAATTTTTTTTACGATTTTTTAACGATTTTCCAAGTTTCTTTCAGAAATCAGAAAAATTTTAGAAGTCTTAAAATATTTCAGAATTTACATATATGAAAAATTCTAAAAATGTAGATTTTCTTAGCATTTCTGAAAAATGGTCTAATTCATATAAAAAAAATCTGAGAAATTTTTTAAAAGTTTTTAAAAAGTTATAAAATTATACAGAACTCTAAAAAATTTTTAAATTTACATAAAAGTTATGAAAAATTATATGAAGAATTCTAAGAAAAATTTTTATGAAAGTATTTATTAATCTTATGTTTTTTATTTTGCAGTGATCGAACTGATAGACTTCCTACACGCGGTGACCTCGAAAGATATTGAATAGAAGATTCGCATTTACATCTAAAAAATATACCGCGAATTCATATCACTTACGAGCGGTTATAGCGTTGATGTAAATGTCGTGTTTAAAGCCAAATATGTTAAATTTTTCATACATATCTAATATTTTGAGAACATTAGAAATATGAAGGATCAAAAGCAAATCTGTTATCACAGCTAATCAAACGTTGTCGAAATATTGTGTAATATATTAAAGACGCAACTTTTCGATTAAAGCTATTTGATTTGATGAGGAATTCTGCATATACACAAAAATCGAAAAGTAAAACGTATTTAAAATGCATGTACTCCTTTGATGATTTATCATGAACGACCTGAGGTAACATGTGAAAGATACGAAAGTAACTATTGCTAAACGAGCAACAAAACAATTTTATATCCATAGATATACAGAGTCTATCTGCACTAATATATTGCTATTGATATTTTATAATAACTATAACGTTTTATATCGCTTTATTTGTACAAAACGAGTAGATACAATTCAATTCGCAAAAAACAAATCATTATTTTAAAAGCGACAGAATTTCAGATTTATGCATTATTCTCATCTAGAAGAATTCTTCATTTACTATCAGTTGCAATATAAATACAAGAAGAATATAGCAATTAAGCTTCTCATGTCTTTCCTGTTTCTCCTCATTCTGTTTCATGTACTCAACCGCTTCGCGGTATCTTATTTTTGCGAATCAGCTAAACGACTTTGAGCAGCTGATACAGTGACTGATACGAAAGGAAAATGTGTTGATAACGATAAAGTACATAGTTATAATTTTTCACTGCCACGTGCTGATTTATTCATATTTATAATACGATAATAAAGTTCTGCGTTGTATAAGAAATAAATCCTATTATTCACTAGTGTATGAGTGTAATCAAAGCTTTACTAACTTTTGATATATCTGCCGTTATTATATCAGAAAGACAATAAATTCTCGTCACAGTCATTTCGTTATAGAAACGATATTAACAACTTTTCTATAATCGATATTAGGTATCGAATTTTTACACTTGAAAAGAGAATGCACATTTATATATTTATAATGCGAAATGCATAAGTTACTCTCTATTAATATCTGAAAAACGAGAACCTTGGAACAAAATACATACATCAACAATCAAATATAGAGGATTGATGAACTTGATTGATTCTTCGAATCCAGATTGCACTCATACCATGATGAATACTTATCATTTACTGTTTATAATTATGCATGTAGGTGCTTAAATGTGATTTTTAATGCAAGGGAATAACAGGCGAATAATCAAGGATAAATGAATAAGTAATTGAATGGTATCATCGAACGTACGTTTTTTTTATTAAAAGAATTTAATCAGACTGCGTGATATGTAAACGAAGAAAGTTACACACGAGAGAATAGTGATAGGAATAAGAATGGCGTAAGTAAAAAATGTGTGTTGCTACATATATAAAATTTATATCGAATAGATTATGAAAAACTCGCGTATAAAGTAAACAGTAATTAGCGTTCTCTAATATTCTCTATATTTGAGACTTTATGAAAGTAAAACGTACAATTTGATAATAATAATTGTTCGGCCATCAATTTATCATCTCTATCTACGCAATATATTGATAATTTATAGATTATAATTTTCCAAATATCAGTTAAAGTGCAATATTTACTATATAAAATAACATTTTATTGTATTCTCAACGATTAAAACAATTGATTTTAATCTTCTTAACTCATTGAATTATATTAGATATACTTACAGAGACAGAATATTTTAACATATCAGCTTGCCGCATAATTAATCTTCAATTAAATACGTTTTCTCTACAGTATCCATGTTCAATATACTTTTATGAGTTTGTCATTTTTCTACTTTTTACTTTGTCATGTGATTATATTTATTTCGTCAAAAAGTATCATCTAATTTATACAAACAATTATACTTTTCAATGATCTTCGTACAGAGTATCCCAGTTTAATCTAGTTAATTTTCTCCAAAATTATTGATGGTACAAAAAGATGATTTTAGAAAATGGAACAGTCTCAAGGGAAATGCATTTTGGTCACGTTTTTTTTTTCTTCTAATGTGAAGTGAAGACCTTCACATCCTTAATTTCGGCGTCTCCATCGAAGAAAAAATTGTAATCAAAATATGTTCTCCTTGAAACCGTTCCACTTTTATTAGAAACTTTTTTTATATCACTAATAATTTTGAAAAATGTAATTGGATTCATTAAAATAGAACACTCTGCATAACATACATAATATGCATAACATACTGTAATATGTGCGTTGCCGATATTTAATGTTTCGTTAATGTATTCCTTACGATACGTAATTCGATTAATAAACTAAAATTATTGCGGATAATGAAAAAAGAATGTCATTAAACGAGATATTGCCTTTAGATATTATTTGAAAAACGGAATACTGAAATAATATATCATAGCTCCTGTGGAATTTTCTACGTTCGCTATGATTCTATTATAACACATTGTAAATGATCATGTACAGAAAAAAACCGATGCATATACTTGTACAATTATATTCTAACATACCTTAATCGTACACCGACATCGAATGAACGCTTTTTGATGTTTATGCAAACGTTAGTTACGTAATAATGTAATATGTATGTATATTGCATTATTTGTACAGGGTGCAATAACAAATATTCCGGTCTGAAATGCCTTTTTTACGCGACTGCGGCGTTTGGATGTGAATAATGTCAGTGGCATCCTAATTAGAACAATTAGGAGCAATGTTTCAAGTATGGTAATAGCTAATATTGCTCCACCCTGTATTATAAAATCATACTGAAAGTATCTACCATAATATATATATGTAGTCTATTGTTATAAAAATTCTTCAAAGAAAATGAGACAATAAATTATAATTTTGCTAACAAACTGTGTGCTTTTATCTCATTGTGAATATTTTTATGAATAATTAATAATTTGTAATTATTTAATTCTAAACAAAGATTTTAAGGCTCCTGAGTATTCACTCCAGCCATATTGAATCATAAGCGAGAAATGTGTCATAAGTGACACATTGATTTTTCTTGCAATTTGTAAATAAAGAGAATTTGGATGAAATGAATATTTTATAAAAAACGTTTTATTAATAAAATTGAATATTCATTGTACAAAGACATATAATGATAAAAACTACGTACTGATACATATATATACCACTAGACTCCAAAGACAACCTTAACAAGCGTTTATTTACATAATTTTACAAAACTTACATATTATTTTTATATTATATTATTTTTATATTATACTAGTATATATCGTAAATGCTAAATGTAACAATTACGATATTAAACCTGAATATATATATATATATATATACACACACACAAATTTTTCTAAATGTAGATTCTTATATGACTAATTAATCTAATCTCGTCTTCTACAAACATACAAAATGCGTTCTTTTTTATCTGTTAGATCTTTTTATAAAATATATGACTACACTAGCACAGGATGCTATGAATTAATCTTATATCCAGAAATAAATGGAAGCCCAGTACCTACTTTTTTTTGGTATTGAACATAGTCTTCACCGAAGAAACTTAATAAAGTCATTTCTTCAATCAGAACACGATCATGGAAAAAACTCCATGACATCAGTGCGTATGCAAAGAGGCATAGTGGATTTTGAAGTATTAACTGGAATAAAAATTTATGAATATTAATTAAAAATTAAGTATAGAACCAAATGTTTAATTGTAAAAAGTTTATGATATCTCACCTGTGTTCCTATGGACCAATAAAACCATCCTACATAACTAGGATGTCTGCAAAGATTATATACACCATGTGTAACAAGCTCATGATTGTTCCTTCTTTCATTTTGCACAACATGATTAAAATTGTGTCTTGCTGTGCACATTGCTAATTTTCTTAAAATTTCACCAGAAATGCATAACATTAAACCAAAATAACACACAAAGGAAGGTCTTTTCATTAAGTTGAAATAATGCCTCTCTATGATAAACTCCATCCAACTGAGACATGCTGCTATCCCATATGCTACGCTATGATTAAGGATGAAACTGTCGATCGACAATGCAGCTGGATTTGACCAGGCAATAGCTAAAAATTCCGTATAATGAAAACTCGCTAATACTGTTGTATAAATGCCAAACACCTGCCATGATGGTGGAGCATTGATTGACACTAAAATACCAATTCCAAAGATATATCCAAGAAATAATGCTCTGATTGCAACCTGTAAAAAACATAATACCTTTAGCACATAAAATTTTAAGTAATACAACATGATAATGAGATAACTTACTTGATAAGCAAAACCACGAAATGCCAGCAATGCGGACACATTTATGAGAACGTACTGTACCGCATGTAAAAGCCAAATATTTGTAAAATATGCGACATAAATATCGAATCCTAACCTGAATTGCAGTTCAGGGAAAAGGGAGATTAAACTTGCTGTAATAAAGCAGAATAAACTGAGAGCTCCTTCGCGACACATCTTTCTCACGAACCCTCGATACTTTTGAAATGATAAACGATAGTCACGATAAACAACTTGACAACATATCCAACTCTCCAACAAATTCTCAACTATTTGTAGTAATTCATGGCTCATACATTTTTTTTATAATAGAAATCTTGCTTTATATTGGCAGTAATATATTGCTTAACACTGTCAAATAGGAAGAATTAAAAGACAAACTTTTTAAAAAGACAATATAAGAGCAAGGCAATCAAAATTATTGAACAAAAAGTCCTTACGTCAAACTTCTCTTTCTCTCTATTTTGTCGATCACCGCACTCTGTACTCTGCACTGCAGTTGACTGCAGTGCCGTCACGTCTGTAATGGTCAGTACTGTCAGTGATCAATGACTATCTTTACGACTCGATTTACGCTAAAATTATAAAATCGATCTTATGAAACTGACCAATCACAGTCATTCCTTTCTTCAGAGGAATTAGCAGTTTTATAATCGATGATATTATAACATCCAATGAATTCATTGTTCATTGCTCAAGTTATATCCCTCTGATAAGTCTTAAAAGCATCAGGATTCCATTTAAAATAATGCTTAGATTGCAAACTGTCATTGTTATTGCATATCTTATTTATAAATCTTTGAATCTGGTTGCTTTTAACTGTGTTGTCACTCTATCTTTAAAACTCTGCATTATTTCCGACTTTCTAGCAAGCATTTCTTCTAATTGTTTAATTTTTCTCATATGTTTGTTCAACTTTAACAACACGTCTTTATTTTTTATATGTTGCGCTTCT